ACCTATGCCAGACTATTACACATTAATATTTCCTTAATTCTTTCCTCTCCACTTTCACAATGGTCCCCCCCCCTTTATTCATTTACAAAAATCCTTCTGTTTCGTCCAGCTCTTCTCTTCCTGCTTGGCATCCTTCTGGGTTTATCAAGATCCTCTATTTGCTCTATTTCCCATTGCCTCATTAGGTTACCAGTTTCCTTATTTTATAATCCACAAAGCGATGTGCATTTAAGTGGCAGAATTATTTGCTGAGATGTTAAAATTATTCATACTCTAATTATCTGCATGTATGATGAAAACCTGAGATTCAAAGAATCCCTCAATAATTTCATCTCATCGTGTTATTCACTTAGTATGAGAAAATGGGTATAAGGTATTTTCAAGCGGGCCTTACCAGAAAATAAAGAAGTCTGCAGAAGTCGTTTGGTCTTGTGTTCGCAGCTTATTCATATTGGCAGGAAAACCTAAAGGAACTCGCTTTGTCCGAATTCTGTAAAAGGCATGATAATTTACTTAGTCGGACCGTGAGCTTGGTACATTTCCGGACCTTCTGACGGCATCGTAGTCGGTATCATCAGTGAGTCTTGGCATTCTTAGCACCACAACACAACTCGTCAAAGGGACAAGTAAAGTAGACATTTTGACCAATTCTGTGTTAAACAATCGTGGTATCTCTCCTTTTGTCTGGGTGCATTCCCACCTTTTCTATATCCTCAACGCCGATTCATTATCACAATTTCTTATTTGTTTATCTAAACCTAGTCAAGACTTATTCACACTCCCTGCTGCTTTCCACACACCCCTCCTCTGTACTAGGAGTGTTGACTCAGGGCTGCAGTTTAGCCAAAATTCTCTTTCTCCAGGTCCTGTCAGAGTAATCCTCTTGCTCAGTAGGATCTTTTCCTATCCCCTGGTTCAGTGATTTCACTCTTTCGCTTCCACTTTATCCGTGCTACTCAAGGCGTTATGTTCCACAATCTGCCTCAATTTTTTGATAACACGTATACGCCGGCAAATTTCAGCTTAGGATTTATGAAAATAAGATCGGGAATAGCGAGGACGACGAAAAAGGGATATGTATGTACTCCTGTGAACTAAATCAAAAAATGCGACCGTTATTAATAAAATGGAATGTCAATGTGATAATCAAGGAAAAGACAATACTCTTCACCAGTCTGCCGACACAACATGAGAAGATTGACAAACTAGATTGCTCTGGAGTCTCTAGCATCAAGTTCAATTGATGAAACTGGAAAAAAAATCAGCTCACGAATCAAATAATACCAAAGACTGTGCTAAAATATAGATAAGGAAAGACTCAAAATAGCCGAACACATTGCACGATCGGTACATGAAATCGAGGGGACATCGACAGAAGAGTTGGCTGAATATTGTGAAAATAGCAGAAAACGCAAGATACGGGAAACCATCGCTATCCTGACTAAAAAATTCTGATAAACATGAAACTTGAAGAAGGCAGGATTAGCAAAAACTCTGTATAGTGACTAAGAAAACTCTAAGAAGATCAAGGAACAGCAATATAAAACAAAAGGCAATATTTTCAATTTTAGGAAAAGAAATCGCAAGGAGACCAGAGAGGAGCAATCGGCAACCGAGAGCAGACGTTTTCAGTGAGCCTATTCGAATCAAGCAGAATTATCACATTTAGCGGTCGGTTCACAAGAGATCAGGGCATAAGAACATAATAGACTTGGCTAGAGATGCAGCTAAGATAGTTTGCTATTAATAGATATTTTCGTATTAGAGTAGAGTTTCGAGACTGCCAGTAAATCAGTAATATGAGATATATTCACCCTATTTCGTCTGAGGTGATGAAGGACTGATAGTAGAATTTTCCCACAATGATATGAGTTGAGCTGATGTTTCCATTGAATTTCACATAGCCTTGCTTTGCCAAAAGTTGTTCTCATCCCGGCTGAAGTGGACTGCAGTTTCGACCTCGCATCGGTCTTAGCAACACCCACAGTGGGAGTCGAAACGCGTCAGTGCAGGATGGGAGCTAAGAGGCCTGACCTTCTTTGAAATTCACTTATGCTCTGTGACTCAAGGGTACTCGTGGCACAACTTTTGGGAAAGACAGACTATGTGAAATTCAATGGAAACATCAGCTCAACTCATATCATTGTGGGAAAATTATACTATCAGTCCTTCATCAGATTAGACGAAAAAGGATGAATACATCTCATATTATTTATAGATAAGCTTGATCATAGACATGGTCCATCACTTAGTCACTTGACCACAAGATTCACTCGCTGTACATGGTCCATAGTGATATTGGAAACGGTAATGTCAAGTTAGGCTTCCATGCTACTTGAGAGTCGAAACTTTGAGGGCTTGTTCGGTGAAGCTGGCGTATACGTGCGGTCAAAGGTTTGAGGCAGAGGGTAGAACACAACGAATTGAGAAGCACGGATATGGTGGCAGCGATGGAGTCAAATAACTGAACCAGAGAGACAAGAGATGGATCCTACGGAGCAGCAGGAAGAGTCTGATATGACTAGGAGAAAAAATGTTGCAGAATAAACTACAGTTTTGGATCAGCACACCCAGCCCAGAGGGGGGATGTGGGAAGCAGCGGGGAGTGTGAATAGGATTAAACTAAGTTTGGATAAACAAGGAAGAAATTGTGATATTGAATGGGCGACTAGGGAATATGGGACAGTTGGATTCCAAAGGACAGGAGGAGAGATACTAAAATAGTTTGGCAGAAAATTGGTCGAAATATCTACTTTACCTGTCCGACAAGTTATTGGGCGGTACTAGGAAGAGCAAGGCGATGCCAGTGAAACGTCTGTGAATGTATCTAGTCCAAGGTCCGACTTGCGAAATTATCATGCATCCTATGGAATGCAGGTAAGGTACCTTCCTCTAAGTCTTCCTGTCAATATGGCCGATTGTCAAAAATAAGGCCAACAAGTTCTATACAACGAAAGGAGGCCACGACCATACGTAAGTTCACATTGTTTTTGTTTTCATACCTTCGATTAGGCAAGTGAGCTTTGCAGTTGTGGCAGTTAACTTTAGCATCACTAACCCCAGCGTAGCGTAATTCGTTCTCGAATCACCTGACTTCGTTGGAATCGTAATATGTAAAAACCATTTATTTTGAGCGAAATAGTAAACAAGAAACCACGAATTGAAGATGGTCGTAATCCTGCCTACTTGTTATAGCCCAATTGTGGGATTAAAATGTAGGGTCCGATGATTTGATTGACTACTTCATGTTACTTCCATATTAACTGATCTTAATTAAGCAAACTTATGCGGATGAGTTCAGATGCGTCACAAATGTAAATTGGTCGCTGGTCCGAATAGTGGCCAGATTCAGTCCAATCTAGGTTGCTCCCCTTGTTCGGTGGTTCACCCTCTTTCATAGAGCGAAACCAATCAAATAGTCAAGAGTGTCTCTCGTCCAATTTCATGTACCCATTCTTTTTATGCAGGATGTTGATGATTTTTTTATTTCCATATACTTCCTTACTATCCTCTTTCAAATGCACACTCCTTAGCCTAAAAGGACTTGAGTTCTGCACTCTTCCAACTAGTGCCTTGTATGTATGCAGGCGATTTTCTGTTAAGACAACCTTTTCTGCATGTGCCGGCAGGTTCATCCCATATTGACGCTGGCATACGAGAAAGAAAGGCCATACGTGATGGAAGCAAAAGTATTGCATT